CACCCCCCACCCAAAACCTTGTTGCTTTTTTGGTCACAGTATCTAAAGCAGTGAAAGTGGTTATTATATGTAACATTCCAGAGAGGTTTTGGTGTTTAATTTAATTTTAGCAAAGGCACCTTGCATGAGTAAATATTGGTTCATGTATGAGGGACTTTTTTGGTTTGTTTTTGAAGTTGTTGTTCATTAGTTGGATGGCAATGTATTGTAGCTGAATTTAATGTAATGACTAAACACCAATAAAAAGACCACAAGTGGAATACAACACTATTACTGCTATTCTTCATGATGATGCAATGGAAAGAGGACTGCCGTCTTTTAGAATTTTTTTTTCATTCTTGAATTTGGAAGATCTGCTTTCACCTTTTTCATCATGCCATGCATGTCACTCTGTTTAATTTGATCGGTTCAAGGAACATGACTAATGATGCTAATCCACCTGCTTGTTTTTGCAAAATGCGAAATAAGCTACATGACTCAAGGTGACTTGATGTGGACTGGAAGCTTAAATGTGTACAGGTTAGATTTTCATCCCCCAGCATTTAGCATACATGCTGCTGAATCACTCAGGGAGTCATGTTTCATCTGCTTTTGACATATGAAGCAGGCACGAGAGAGGACGGAGCAAAGAACTCTTTCAGCCGGATCATATTTTTATTTCAGCAGTTTCATAATGTGCATACAACATCATGTCATGTTGTCATGATGAGCATATATTAAAAAATGTGCAAATAATGCAAAAGAAAATTAGCATTTGTGCATTTGTTTATTGATCTCTCGCTACAGTCTCACAGTGTTTTAATTATAAAACACATTTGGTCACAAAGTGCTCTACAGCAAAATAGACACTACATACAACTAAAACAAATAAAAATCCCAGGAGGAATCGCAAAGAACATAATAGACAATTAAAGTATAGCTAGCATTTAAAAGTAACCTAAAAAAAAGCGATTAAAGATTCAGTTATTAATGAATTCTAGACTGATTTAATTATTGTGTTATTCTAGTTAAGCCTTGGTTGAAGTCAGAAACACAAACATTTTATTGACTAAATTAATGTTGTAACTTTTATTACTTTTCACTTAAGTTCTGCATGAAGTCCAGTTTATGAGTCCATTGGAGACATATTGCATATTCCCTAATCGGTTTGTTTTAGACACTTTATAATCTAGTCATCATGTTGCATAAACTTCAATCAGCTTCAAGCAGATTGGTGATAATTAAAGGAATAAAAAGCAACAGATTTGCAATCTCATTCCTAATGATAATAGCAATGAGATTGTGGATGTTTGTTGGCTTACAGGTATAGTGCTCCTGCTGGTTTGGCCTCGTCTCCCAGGGGAAATTTTTAGGAGCAGATGGTTGCCTGAGTGGACGAGTGTCAGCTAACAGTAGATGATCTTCTCAGCAAGGGGCCATCATGCTATAGTTTGCCCTTGTAAAATGAAGAACAAGGTTTTATCTAAATGTAACAAAAGATGTGACAATGCTTTT